GCCTAGTACTAAAAAAACTATCAGGGTGGTAAGTGCCAAACCATTACGATTTTATAGCACTGGGAAGGGGTCAGGATAAGGATTAGCGATGGGACCGGGGGAAAAAGGAATGGTGCCCAACCACTTGGAAGGTCGGGGATTGAACGCCGACCTGCATGAAGCGAGACCGTCGCTCTACCGTCCAGCCCAAGTGGTTGGGCTCGTAGCCTAGTAAATATCAGCAAAACTTGTCGTATTTACTGACGCAGGACTGAATATACATCTATACAATTGTGGTATCATCTACCACAATTGTGGTAGTTGTAAAATAATGTCTGATTGACAGTATCAACATAAGACCGTATTGTAAATCCTCACAACTCACAATAGCAAGTAAACTACTCATGCCACGTGAAAAAAAAAACTAAAAAAAATATTCTAGTCACCTTCCTTATCATGAGCATCCATAGCATGGTTGGCAAAACAAGTCACGTAATTTTGAGGCCTGGGTTCGAGTTTCCGCAACTCCAAGTGAATGAAACGATCGAATTCAATAATTGGCTGCCGTCTGAAAAAGGGACTTTTGGATTCAGCCTGAAGAAAGGACACTAGAAATTATACCTTAATTATCACATTTCAGGCTTAGGATTATGCATCAATTAAATTATAGGCTGAAGCTCACACTAGCTTCAAGCTCATATAATAATAATAATAATAATAATAATTCATTGTATCGGGGGGACAGGAAGCCAGAGTGTATTCATTCACGTTAGGCTTATATTTAGCTTCCTCCCCCCCCCACAGGATACAACCCCACAAACAAGCTAACTAACTCCTGGATACCTATATACTTCTAGGTGAACAGCGGCATTAGGTGATCGGAAATGCACCCAATCATTCCCCCCCCCCCCCGCCCGGGAACCGAACCCGGAATTCTGGATTATGAGTCGAGAATGAATCCGACTAAACCACAGGGACCCGTAATAATGGAGATACCCTCATTAAAACACTGAAACTGGATACGCTAGACTTGTTAGCGGCTTTACAAGAATATAAGAACGTAAATAAATCAATCAATCAATCAATCAATCAATCAATCAATCAATCAATCAATCAATCAATCAATCAATCAATCAATCAATAAAATCAATACTTGTTTGCATGTCAAAATGTATCTCTCAATCTCTTCTCAAAGTCAACTATGTAATAAGTTTGTTAAACTCGTAATTTAGTGCTCAAATCGACATTAGTTAAAAAATAATATAAAATATTTCTTCATTTTCAGTACTACGCGAAATTAAACAGACATGAAAAACACAACTCATTAAATACTAAGCTATTACGCATGAACGCAATTGTTATCAACAATTAGATAACATTATTAGATAACAATTATATCAACATTAAAAGATAACCAATAACATCAGTCAGAATAAACAGCATTTCCTTGAATGCTATATATACAATAAATAAATAAAGGACGCTACAGTTAATATTAAAAGCAGAGGAAAAATATATTAGTCGGCCATTCCCCCATGTTAGGCTCAATGTAAAGAAAACGAATAATATTTTCAGAGAGAACGGCAACACGCTTCTGAAAGGGTGACTCAATGATTTTATTTTTACTAACGTGCATTGTAGGTTTTAATTCACATTTTGTACAAAGTTTGATAGGTATGTACAGTACATATATATTAGTGCCGTGGATAGCTACAATTTAAATATTATGAACAAATGAGCAAGATAAATACGTTCCCACAGACGCAAATACACACAGCATTTTGAGAAAGAGTTAGTGTTTGATTGATGAACTTACTTATGAAAGGTTATAAAAGCCGTACTCACCCTTTATAAGGTGAGTACTTTTACACTCATTGGTATAAATTCTTTACATAAATTTCACAAATACACAAGTGTGGGTTTTTATTCATTATTATTATTATTATTATTGGATTCTGGCTTAAGAGTACAGCTCTGAGGTTCGAGTATTTCCTTTGTTTAGTGATTTTAATTTTTATTAAATTATATTCTTCTTTCAGAATCGTGGGCAGCAGAGCGAGCTGTACGACGAGCCCCTGAGCCCCTTGACTGGGGGTTGGCGCCCCCCAGCTGCTTGACGCCTGCCGCCCTCCACAACCTACTGACGGATGGCTTCTACGCCCCCTACTCAGCCAACCCGCAGTACCTACTGGTCGTGGACTGTCGCGCGCCTCGAGCCTTCACGCGACGACGCCTGACGACCGCGCGCTGGCACGGTGCGCTGCACACCGCGCCCGCGCCAAATCTCGTCAACACCATAGTGCTATACGATGACCGACCGCGCACTGCCCGGCCCCAGCCTGGCGACTCCGACCCCCTCGCTACACTCTACCATGACCTCCGTCGTCAGAAGTTGGACCCCCTGGTGCTATTGGGTGGGTGGACGGTGCTGGAAGCCACCTGCCCCCACCTCTTGGAGGGGGGTGACGGTATTCCCACACCTGAGCCCATGCCTTGGTACCCTGCTCAGATTATCCCAGGGCTCTTGTACCTGGGCCATGCGGAGATGGCATCCGACCCGCGCGTGCTGACGGCCCTGCGCGTCACGCATATTGTGGATGTGACGGAGACTCTTCCCCCTCGTGTCCTCCCCTCTATGAACTATCTAGTCGTGCCCGTACCCGAAGAGCCAGATTGTGGCGAAAAAGGTGAAACAACTAGTGGGACGGACCTCCTCTCTTCCCTGCCCACTATCATGGCGTTCGTGGGTGAGGCGCGCACCTACGGAGGGTGTGTGTTGGTGCACTGTGACCAGGGCCTCACCCGCGCCGCCGCCGTCGTCATGGGCATCCTGATGGCGGAGCGACAGTGTACCCTGGAAGACGCTTTCTACTACGTCAAGGGCGCGCGGTCTGCTGTCCACCCTAACTCCAGCCTGCTGCATCAGCTGGCTAGATATGAAACTGTGTTGTTCGGTGCCTCCCTCACGCAAGCGGAAGACCTCTTCTGACCTGCACTCACCGCCATCTTAACCCTCCTCACTTGTCACACACCCACGGCCACGACCCGCCAAGAGAGTTCATGACGTTAATGCTAGCTAGCAACTTTTCTATTGACAGTGATTATCTCATCTCAAAGGTTAGCCTGCACATATCGGCAGTTTATTGCAGCCTTGACATCCCCCAAGGTGGTTACAGTCAGCCTTGACATCCCCCAAGGGGTTACCGTCAGTCTTGACATCTCCAAGGGGATTACCGTCAGCCTTGACATCCTCCAAGGGGTCATCGTCAGCCTTGACATCCCCCAAGGGGTCACCGGCAGCCTTGACATCCCCCAAGGGGGTCACCGTCAGCCTTGACATCCCCCAAGGGGTCACAGTCAGCCTTGACATCCCCCAAGGGGGTCACCGTCAGCCTTGACATCCCCCAAGGGGTCACAGTCAGCCTTGACATCCCCCAAGGGGTCACCGTCAGCCTTGACATCCCCCAAGGGGTCACAGTCAGCCTTGACATCCCCCAAGGGGGTCACCGTCAGCCTTGACATCCCCCAAGGGGTCATCGTCAGTCTTGACATCCCCCAAGGGGGTCACCGTCAGCCTTGACATCCCCCAAGGGGTCATCGTCAGTCTTGACATCCCCCAAGGGGGTCACCGTCAGCCTTGACATCCCCCAAGGGGTCACAGTCAGCCTTGACATCCCCCAAGGGGTCACAGTCAGCCTTGACATCCCCCAAGGGGTCACCGGCAGCCTTGACATCCCCCAAGGGGTCACAGTCAGCCTTGACATCCCCCAAGGGGTCACCGGCAGCCTTGACATCCCCCAAGGGGTCACCGGCAGCCTTGACATCCCCCAAGGGGTCACAGTCAGCCTTGTTGTCACTAGGACGAGGCAGTGACGTCTATACACGCTCATCGTCCCTGGTCGGTTAACCAATACCGACTTTTGTTGGTCTTTCATGTTCATAAACATAAATAAACTAACGTAAAAATTATTTTGTAAATAGGTTCTAAACTTGTGGGCACCACTGTTAGTAGATTGCCCAACGAGTAGATTTCATCTACCTAAAAAAAGTAGCGTAGGGTTTGAAAGTACTGTAGAAATAATATATTATCCTGCTAATTATCTCAGTAGATACAAATTCAACGGGAAAACGTAACGTTAAAATTCTCTTTAGTGCAGGTGTTTACTCACAGGTGTGGCGTCACATCTGTTAGATTAACCCCCTTTGTATACGGTCACAGGAAAAAGAACGCTGTTTAAACACTTCCTAATTTACACGTCAAACAGCCAGATGTCATCACATCCACCTGTCAACTACATCCTCACCTGACGAAGATTAAGCCACCCAAAAGGTGGCACGGGCATGAATAACCCCGTAAGTAGTGGCCCTTTTGAGCCATTACCAGTATCAAGAGCTGATACTGGAGATCTGTGGAGGCGCGACTGCACCCTGCGTGACGGGAGATGTCTCCCGTGATCCGCATCTTTCAAGAGTGATTGATTGATTGATGAAGATTAAGTCCACAGGACAACCCGTTCTCGCAAATTTAATAAGTCAATATTGACTTATTAAATATGTGCATAGGTGACATACTTAACATAATAGTTTCCCTTGAAAAGCTTCATAGAAAACACCGACCTTACCTAACCTACTTAGTATGTTAAGATAAGCATCTTATTGCTTCGTAATTACAATTATTACCTAACCTATAATAGGTATAGGTTAAGTAATAATTGTAATTACGAAGCAATAAGATGCTTATCTTAAGATACTAACAAGGTTAGGTAAGGTCGGTGTTTTCTATGAATCTTTTTAAGGGTATCTATTATGTTTAGTATATCACCTATGCACGTAGTTAATAAGTCAATATTGACTTTACGAATTTGCGAGAACGGGTTGCACAGGTGACCCATACTGGTGTGTACACCAGCTGTCGACTGAAGCCACATTGAAGAATAATTATCATAATATCGCACTCAGCTTCTAGCATCACAGCAGACGAAGACCATAGAACATTGAAGACACCCTAACCTCAACACTCATTAATCTATGAATATATTTTCTTGAAATTACATATACAATGATCTTATAAGTTTACATACACTCTTAAAACTCTCTTTGAGTCTAAAATCCTGGCCTTAAATCATCTTAAGGAACTCTTCAAGAGACGTTGGACGTCCATATATTCTAGAGCTCTAAGTGTATGTGTAAATCTGATGTTTAGAGCACAGGATTGACCCCTATGATCAACCACGTCGTTTGGTTGTTAGACGATGTCAAACCAGGTGGTTTAACCCAAATAGCTCATTAGGAAGGTCCTAAACCAACAATACCGTGTTGGTGACTCCAGGGGCCAGATTAACGGAAGCAGTTACGCAAGCACTTACGAACGTGTACATCTTTCCTCAATCTTTGACGGCTTTGGTTACATTTATTAAACAGTTTACAAACATGAAACCTTCCCAATCAACTGTTGTTATTGTTATGAATAGCTTCCTGGTGCTTCGGAGCTCATTAACTGTTTAATAATTGGAAATAAAGCCGCCAAAGATTGTGAAAAGATGTTCAGGTTCGTAAGTGCTTGCGTAAGTTCTTTCGTGAATCTGGCTCCTGGCAGGCCTGTCTGGAGTCTCCAACACTGAGAGAGACTCTCTCTCTCTCTCTCGAGCTAGGGTCTATATCCTGTTTAAAATTTCTTGACCAGATGTATATGGCTGTTGGTAAATGTAAAGACTGGCTCGTTCCTCTTCACTCACGTTCTCGCAGCTTTTCGTTCCTATTCCTTCACGTTCTGAGCTCTTCGTTCACTTTATTGGGACACGTGACAACTTCTGAGTTGAAATTCGAGCATAACTCACATTAAGACAATGCGTGCTGCGTTGAAATATTTACTCCTTGGAGAAACAAAATTTCCTCTTTTTTCTTAGGAAACTTCTAAGTCTCGTTGAAGACTTAGAATCTCCGCGTCCGTGTTAACTTGGCGTCGTGCGGAAGGTGACAAGGATACCTCTAGTTTTGGTCACTATCGTTGACCAAGAAATATTCTAGGTGTACATAGAGATATTTAATTGTTCCTTCCAAACACTGTGTTCAGTCGTCGAACTGAATGATAAAATTCGCCGCTAATAGCCTACCGATGGAATGTTGGCTCGTCGAGAAAATTTGCCCTTCAACAGAATTATCATAACTAGCCTAAATATATAAATTACTGCTACTACTACTACTAATAATGAGAAAATCCGTAGGTGCTGTGATTTGGATTCGAACCTATGTGCTGGGTCTTCCCTGACACACGCTCTAGGCCACAACATGGTGGTGGCCTAGTTGTCTAGATTCTTCTAGCGTGTGGGAACATCCACCGCATGGGTTCGAACCCTCCCCACGGCCCCTACGGATTTTCTCACTGATATATCACGTTGCTGTGATTACTCATAATAATAATAATAATAATAATAATAATAATAATAATAATAATAATAATACGTTATTTATACCAATGTGCATAAGACAGCATAAGACAAAACGAAGACGTTTCGGCCTTCCTGGATTATTAAGTTGTGACTTGATAAGTGTCTTAGACTAATCGAAACGTCAACACCCATTTTCCTACACATTTCATAAAGTTGTTTCTCACACGATAGTGTGACCTATTCTCCGCAACACAACTAATTTGTGTTGGCAATAGCCGATCATCACTCAAGCGGATGATTAGTAAATACAGGGTATACTGGTGTGATGTGCTGATAATGACTGATTGATGATTGATGATGATTGATAGAGATTAAACCACCCAAAGAGGTGGCACGGGCATGAATTGCCCGTAATGCTGATAAATTAGTGTGATCTGCTGATAATTAGTACCCCCCCCCTCCTGCACCTCACTGTGTCTTATTTTCTAATACTATGTCTTAAGACGGAATGGTGTCACGGTTACTACTGTGTTATTATTTGTCTATTGTGTGACGGTAAACCGGATGTTTGTTGCTCCACCTCTTTTGTAATTCTACTTGTTGTGCTTCCTGTAAGTTACAGAGTTGGTGGTTGTTTGACAGTTGCATCTCAACTCACTTTTTGATAGTATCCAACCATTCAATTTCTATTAGACACCGTTAATTAATTATGTCTTTCTTAATGAAACAAATCTCCCATTTGTTAATACATGTCGAACTCTTCTTGAATTCTAATATTATATATATATATATATATGTGTGTATATCACGAAAATAAACACGTGATTAAGAATGTGACAAAGTCAGACCACGGAGGAAAAATGAAACAGGAATTTCCTTAAGTACTTTCGTATATTAAATACCTTCTGAAGATGTATTTAATATACGAAAGTACTTAAGGAAATTCCTGTTTCATTTTTCCTCCGTGGTCTGACTTTGTCATATATATATATATATATATATATAGTCACATACATGGTGTGTGTGTATATATGATATATACTCACACCAATGAACCCGATAGAATAGGATTAGCCTAGTGTATATATGTATGGATTTCTGGGCCTGCGAGCCAAAGAAATCTACAAATAACAGAAGCCATCAATGTCAAAACAAGAGAGACGCGGGAAGCGCCTCCCCCCCCCCCCCCTTTCCAAAATGCATGTCAAAAATTCCACCGACCCGTCAAACACACACCGAAACTACGACGTTGGTACAACGTTCGAACAAGTTTTAACACCTCCTAACCAGTTATAACAACCAATATAGCCAGTTGTAACAACGTTCTAATACGTCATAAACACGTTAAACCAAGATGTAACAACTTTATTACAAGTTGTAACAAGCGGAAAATAGAGACAGTTTCGGTTTGTGTTTCCAGGGGAGGAACAGAACTAAGGCTTGTCCCTACTCCGCGGCTTTAGCCAAGCCTCACCCAAACACTGTCCATATTTAGACAAGCAGCATTTTATAAGAAAAATGTCTTTCTAGGATGAATGAAGGAGTTGGAAGTTATGTGAAAATCTCTAGATTAATGTCTTAGTTTATACACTCTCACACCTTTGTGCACGCTGCTTCAAACAGGCTGGTGGATCACCACGAGGGAATGTGTAATGTTTGTGAGTACACTGTACTATATGTACATGTGTCTTCACTTGGCACCTGGCACCCGCTCCCACTCTCGCTCTCTCTCTCTCTCTCCCTCGCATGTTTAGAACGCATGTGTGAATGCAACCCGTTCTCGCAAATTCGTAAAGTCAATATTGACTTATTAACTACGTGCATAGGTGATATACTAAACATAATAGATACCCTTAAAAAGATTCATAGAAAACACCGACCTTACCTAACCTTGTTAGTATCTTAAGATAAGCATCTTATTGCTTCGTAATTACAATTATTACTTAACCTATACCTATTATAGGTTAGGTAATAATTGTAATTACGAAGCAATAAGATGCTTATCTTAACATACTAAGTAGGTTAGGTAAGGTCGGTGTTTTCTATGAAGCTTTTCAAGGGTAGCTATTATGTTAAGTATGTCACCTATGCACATATTTAATAAGTCAATATTGACTTATTAAATTTGCGAGAACGGGTTGGTGAATGAGAGCTCTCCATCTGTTTCTTCACGGAATTACTGATGTCAATGCACTAGTATTTACCAAACAGCACATAGATGCATATACATTCATCATTGACACACACACACACACACACACACACACACACACACACACACACGCACACACACACACACAAAACCATAACATAAAGCACATTTTGATGACCAGACCACACACTAGAAGGTGAAGGGACGACGACGTTTCGACTTGAGAATGGTCCAGGACGGACCGAAACGTCGTCGTCCCTTCACCTTCTAGTGTGTGGTCTGGTCAACATACTTTAGCCCGTTATTGTGACTCGTCGCCTGCACATAAAGCCCATTTTTCTTCGTCTCAAGAGTCCTTACGTACAGACACAAGGGAAGGCAACTAGGACCGTGCCAAACAGCAGTGCCACTTACCCTCCCAGTGCCACCCGAAGCCTCAGCGTTTTCGACAAGTGATAACGTCCCAAGTCACGAATCTAGGAAAGCAATATGCACGAACGGGCTTCAAAGATCCAGATGTAAGACGCGACTTAAGGCGTTTGTTTTTTTAGATAGACACTCGGATATTGAAATGGCTGTTGGATGGTAATATTCGTCGAGTCCAAGGTGTGTGCTTTGGAGTACCCCAGACCATAGGTTCGAATCCTCTTTGTGGCTCCTACTGATTTTCTCAACATAAATTATGTAAAATCATGAATGCAACCAAGTGTTCATTTATGAATACAATTAGTTAATGAAATACAATATTTGTTTAAATTTGTATACAATGCTTATATTAGTCTCGTCAATTATTGTAAGTTTCACTAACATACAAGACAAATATGCACACATTTGTCAACATTCTACTTTATGTGGCTAAATATCAATACGCTGGAGGAAAATAGGAAG